CCGCAGGGCAGATAGAATGGCCTGGTGGGCTGCATCTGGCCCATGGGCTGCATTTTGCCCACCCCTGACATAGGCAGATGAGATTCTTTGAGTAAATCCAATATCTTTTATTAGATTTTTCAAACTATTTGAGCCATTCTTCCTTCTAGGAAGTTATTATAATTGCAGACAAAATACAAACCATAGCTATATATGATGGTGGCTGGTTCCAGAGAAGATTCTTCAATAGTTGGGTTTTTGTTGCTGAGCAAAAAGTGTTGTTTACTTGGGTCACTGAAGTCTGGGAGAATTTTGCATGTGTAAAATATTCTCAAAAGCTGTTGATAAGAAAAATTGGCAGCACTCTTTTAGACAGTATTCCTATCTCACCCATAGAATATATAACTCCTTAGCAAGCCATGCTCTTGTCTTCTGTGCAGCATCTATCGTATGTATGGAGGGGGTAGGGCATGGGCACAAAGAGGACCAGGTCAAGGGAAAATATATATTAGCCACCCAAAAGTGGCACAGTCACAGTATCCACATGTGCTGTCAGAGGGAATACTCAGTACTGAACATTTGGAAGAGGTTGCTCTGTAAAAGGGCAAGGAAAATGTTTTGAGCAATATTCATGGGGGGAAAAAAAACCTGTCACTTTAACAAAGCCTAAACTGATCTGAAAACAAAACAGCCCTTTTATGAGTTTAACATGCAGCCCCTACACACTCTTGCCACCTGATGAGAGCAATTGGCAACCGCTACCAGTTTGTGTTGCATACTTGGCAGGAACAACATTGTTATGTTAATTTTCCTTTCACTTGTACGTGATGGCGCTGAGCTTTCCTTGAATGGAAGGAATTTTGTATAAGTAGGATTCCAAGGGCCTACTTTGCTGTATGGATCTTTCTGTAGTATTTTGGTTCTTTCCCACCCTTGTTGGACGGTCAGAGTCCTGAAAGCAAAGTCTCTCCTTTACTCAAGGAGTGAATGGGTGCTCAGCACCTTTGGAAAGAAGCCAAGAATGTTACCCATGGCTTGAAAGGCACTTTTCCCTTTATCTTTTCTATACATGTTGTAAGTTTTCAGTAATATTTCAAAGTTACAGGACAAGTTCAAGCTGTGTAGGCCCATTTTGGCCTGCCTTAAAGCTGCTCTGCCTGAAGAACCCTCTTTGCCTGCCATCTACCTAATTAAAATTAATTGAGAATTTAAATTAAAAATAACTAGTATTCCTATAAGTCCTATTTGCTGTCCCTGAAAGTTATGAAATATTGCTAAAACAGGCTGCTCAAGGCAATGGCGACAGGCACATGGAGGAGACTAAGCAATGCACGTATTAAATTTTCTGATTAAATCAACCACCATATGTTGGAGGAAGCAAACAAAGCCAAGTTATTTTTGTGCTTCAACTGTTAAAAACAGAAAACAGTCAAAGTTTGTTAAAAAATGGTATGAAAGAAATTATCTTCTTTTCCTACTTCTCTAGCTGTATTTTTTTCCTTCCTCAAGGCTCTTAACTGTTCCTCCTACACTGCTCAAATGCTTAGTTCAAGGTTCTGCAACACCTTGCCCTCACCTTTTTCTTGCTCATCCTGGCTAGGGACAAACATTCAAAAAAGCCTGAGCCTGAATTGTTTCAATCTTTGCAGGTTAGTCTAACCTGGCTAGGCTAAATCAGTTTGTAACCCAGACAGACATCCCAGAAATTCAGGCACATGCCTACAGTGGCTCAGGCTAGAAGTTGTGGGGTGCTAGAGCAGCCCTCCCTTTGCTTCCACAAGGTAGTGCTGAGTGGGACGTAGCCAGGGCCTGGCTGGATGCTCTGATTATTCCCCTCCGCCCCCCCCCCCCCCTCTTTCCGCGCCCCCCCCGCTCTGATTATTCCCTCCCTCCTGAGCTGCCCACCAGGGAATGTTTATCACCCCTAATTCAGTGTTTATCAACTCATTAAGAAAACAAAGTCTCTGTCCATTAACTAGGGGAGCTCTTCTTAATGTTCTTCCTTGGAAGATCTGTTTAAGCTACCTGTTGATTAGCTCCAAAAAGTCTGTCTGCCTCTGACCTCTCCCACAGCACCGACTGGACCATAGCCAGCGTGTGGTCTGCTAGCTAATGCTCAGGTGTCTGCTTAAGGCAGAGGGGAGGGGAAAATAATCCCTGCTTAGTAGGGAGAAGCCAGGCAGATGCTCTGTGCCTGTAAGTCTCTGCCAGAGCTCTGGCCAGGGAGCAGAGCGGAGGGTCCAGCCCTGCAGTGGAACAGAGTGCCTCGCCCAGCCCAGAGAGCATGCCGGGATGCTGGTGGTGTCTGTTTTGTCTTAAACCAGCAAAGGATCTGGGACAGAGATTGCATAAACCGGTTTGAGCCAAATCAGTTAAGTCTGATATTACATTCAACCAGGCTTATCTGAAACCGGTTTCAGTCATTTTCAAACTGGTTTATGTGGACTGAACATCTGTTCTGTTACAGGTTTAAACCAGTTTCTGATCACTTAAACCAGTTTGTGTGTAATGCCTGTCCCTAGCCCCTGTTATCACTGCCTGCTCGTCTCACCAGAGCCATATCTTATCCTTCCACTGACTATGCTGTGACCTATCCTTGGCACAACTTCTCCCATAGAGCTAAAATAATCTTTCCCTCATTCTGATTGTTCTTTTAACCATGCATCCCCTTCCACTGGTGATCTCCACCTCATGCTAACCACCCCCCATTTCACACTTGAGCTCATTTAAAACAAAACAGCACAACACTTACATACATAAAAATATACAAATCCTGTAGGGTGAAAGAAAGAAAAATACAAAGGCCCAGTTTCAGCTTTATTATAAACTGGTAGAATTCCATTGATGTATTTATGCCAGGGCTGTGCTGTGCCAAACTTGATCTGAACATTATGCTCTGCCAACAGTAGATTGTCCTATCTTTTTCCTGTTATACCCTTCCTCCTATCCTACTTCTATCAGGTGATATGTCTTCTTTTATTTATTACCTGGCTCATTCAGAGCCATTTTGGGCTTGCCTACACTCTGGCAGTAGTAAACCCAGTACTGAGGAGCTGAAGTGTGCTGTACTCACTTGTACCCATTGGCACTACTCCAAACCCAGAAGTACACTACTAAGCCTTCTCCAGGCCCTTCTTCCTGTTTTCCAGCAGGCCTGAGAGCTGTCACAAAGGACAAGCATAGAGGATCCTCACTGCCAGAACGTCAGCAGACATGCATAGGTGGGGGCTTTGCTGCTCCTGTGGTGTAGACAAACCCTTTGTATTAGGCTGCTCCAAGGCCGTGCTGGGGAATGGGCAGACTGAAGAAGCCTTATACCTTTGAGCAGTGGCCAGGTACAAATACAATGCCTTCATCCCCCTACATAGCACAAGTATTTCACTCCCAGTGTCTCACAGGTTGCATCACAACTTATGGAGGGCAGGAGAGAGAACCACCACACCACCCCCTCCCAAAACATCACATAGGAAGGGGGCTGTTTCAGGTACATGGATGCTGCATGGTCTCAGGAAAAAAATGCATGATTAGAAAAACTGATGGCTTTCCTGAACTTTTGCCCTAAGAGACAGGATGGTTTTGTGGTTAAGGCACAAGATTGTGGTTCAAGTAGACCATGCTCTAGTTCCTGGTTCTGTCCCAAGCTTCCCAGGAATCCTTCAGCAAGTCATTTCATTGCTCTGAGCCTTGGTTTAGTGTCAGTAAAATATGGATAACTAGACTTCCTTATAGCAGAGGATTACTGTGAAATTTACATAGGGGTTTTTAGCAATAGACCTTAAAGTGCTTTAAAAAGGGGTGGCGGGGCAGGGTCCACCATCATTATCCCGTTTTACAGATCGGTCAACTGAAGCAGAGGGAGTAAAGTGACTTGCCCAAGATCACTCACCAGGCCAGTGGCACAGCCACCAGTAGAACCCATGGTTTCTGAGCCCCTGTCCAGTGCTGCCTCCACTAGGCAAAAGACATGGTTGACCCTATATGTTGCAAAGGATCTTGTACTTTCAGTCTGCAAAATGCTATGCATGCCTAGACTGATATATTAATGATAACTAATGGTCAGTCTTCTACAAGGACATAATAAAAAAAGGTAAAAATTGAAACTATGTAGGGTACATTTAAAAAATGTCCTGTAGAATTTTCCTTTTAAAAGTGCATCAGAAAATTAAAGATGTTACCAACTAGACACTGCCTTTTCAGCTGAGAACACAGGGTGATAAAAACATATTTTTAGAATGGTCATGACTCTTTGGTTTTAGCCACAGCATGATCTTGTGAAGAGGAAGATTTAAGTAAAATACACATCTGTTCTGGAAGGAATAAGGGTCTGAGAAATCAAAACATGTTGTGAATGTTAAGCTTCCAACAGAGCATAATAGTGGGCAAAGTGGTTCAAGAGGTCACTTGCATTTGCTGACCTGGTTCATGAAAATCTTATGTTCTGACCTGCTGAGGTATGAATTCATCAGATAACAGTTACTCGTTCTATTTTGGTCTTTGAATTTGTAGAAAGTTGAGAAAAGTGACAAGGGATTAGAATGGTTAAGACTGCCTGTTGGTTTACATTTTCATGTTAAAGCAATTATAGAGCATGACTGATTGTTGTATTAATTAATCAGGAGCAATCAGCTTTTAAATGCTGTGATTAACATAGCTCTATTTAACCCCATGTTGAGTTTTCCAAACAAAATATGTAGTACTTTTGAAGTGTAAAAGGGAAAATTACATCTGATCTGGTTAGATATCCTGGAAGTGGGGTAAATTAGCCTCTATTGATGATTCCATAAGTTCCTCAGTGCCTGAGGGAGTTTGTTTAGCTACTTCAGGTATCTACCCTGTCCTGAGACTTTCACTGACAACAGTGGAAGTAACAGGGCGGGCAGGGATTCTTGCTTTGCTTTCTGACTGAAGAGACTAATCTGACACTTTCATACTGAGATTCCAAATGTTGTTTTACCGTGCCCATGGTAGTTAGAAAAATGGTGATTGTTTGACTAAAGCCCTGTTTTCTGTCCCCTCCATAGGTTTATTGATTGGCTCTGGCTGTGCTCTCTATCCTTTGGGTTGGGACAGTGAAGAAGTCAGGCAGACCTGTGGTAATCTTTCCAACCAGTTTGAACTGGGTAAGTAGCTGTCACTGAATCTCAGTCCCTTTAAAGAGGGGTGGCCAACCTGGGGCATGTGTGCTGCAAGTGGCATGGGCAGCCTATGTGTGTGGCATGCAGCAGACCAGAGAGGGAACAAGCAGGACAGTGGCAGATACAGCAGGAAGCAAAGCGGCAGATCAGGGAGGAAGAACTGGCTGGGAGCTGAAAGCAAAGCAGCTGTTGGGGCAAAGGAAAAGCATCAAAGTGGCACTTTTGGAGGGTGGAGGGTTAATTTGTGCCATGTCTGACAAAAAGGTTGGCCCTCACTGCTTACATTCCCCTAGAAAGCACAGAAAGACCTAGAAAATAGGTTCACTTAATCAGCCCTTGTATGTATGGGATTGTGCACACACTTGCATATTTCATGCAAGCTGTGAGACTCCTTAAAACTTTACTGTGATTGTTTTCTGATGGAACATCACAAGTGTCATTAAGGCAAAAAATACCTTTTTAAAATCAGAATCTCCGAGGAAGCAGTTGCATCAAAAGCATGATAGAATACAGCAGGTGACAGAAGACAGCAGATGTAATGTGAATTTATACTGTGATACAACAGCAGAAAAAATGTCCATAGAGTGTTTACTGGTACATGCAGAGCCATCTGGTCACAGGGAAGTAATAAAGAAATATTCATAGTGAACCTAAACTTTACTCAGCCTTGGGTTTTGAGATTTAATGTATTCATGAAGTTCTGTCCATGTTTTTGGAAGTCTGAGAAGTAGAGGCTGAAAGTATTCCTGCACATAGGAAATGGGTACATACCCTCCCTCGCAACAAGCAATTGCACCTACCTACCTACCTACAAGAAGTTCTCAAGTGGTCTTAGAACTTCTTATGCTTGTGGAGGGGGGAAACCTTGTGGCTTGTCTATAGACTGTATACCACGTCAGTGGGGAAGTCGCTGATAAGAGGAGACTGAGCATGTCTTGCCCGTTCAAGTCTGTTGATGCATTCCAGAGACAAATTTGCCCATTAAGCTGCTTGGGACTTGGCTCTGGGCCTGCTGGCAGAGACAGAGCTTAATAGTGGGTGGTGGGGACAAGTCCCCAGCTCTGGAGCACAACAGTGGATGTGAATGTCGGAGACAAAAGGCAGGGTGTGCTCAGTCCTGTCCTCCCTAAGGCTTGCTGCTGATATAGTAGCAACAGGCCCATGGCTTGCTATGAGGGAGCATCTGCAATGTAGAGAAAGGTAGGGTTACTATATTTCCAGTATCAAACAGGACTCCTGTGCCCTGCTTCTGCCCCTCCTAAGCCTGCTGGCCCTGCTGGTGCCCCTTACTTCTGACCCACAGCCCCCTGCCCCGCCAGTGCCCCTTACTCCTGACCTTCAGCCCCCTGCACCCCCAGTCCTGCTGATGACCCACACTACAGACCCATAGCACTCTGCCCTCCCCAGTCATTGCCCATGCAGCTCCTGAACAGGCATGCACGCATGCACACACTCTTACTTAGGAGCAGCTTGCCAGGGGCATGTGACCTCCTACGCCCAATCAGCTTTCCCATTGCTCCCAGCCTAAGCAGCCAAGCTGCTAGTCCCCAGGATACCAGAGGTAGAGAAAAAACTTGAACATTTGCTTGCATTTTAAAAACCCACACAGACACGAGGGCAGGGAGCCAAAAAAGAGGACGTGTCTGGGAAAACCCAGATGTATGATAACTCTAAGTGTCCATTGTCTGTTCAAGTACACTGAACTCAAATGTCCAAGCAATTATGCTGGGACTCCTTCACTTTCAGTTCCTTCAAGCCAAGCTGTACAGTTCATTTTGCAAAACCTTTTGTGAGCTGAGCTTGGCAGAGTTCACCCTAGCTTTTGCAAGAATCCACCTCTAAATGATGATGACAGAGTAGTCAAGCGTCTTCCTTGCCCCAGAGATTAAGAGCAAACGGTGTATTTCTAATCTTGCACAGATATTTCAGCCAGGTCTACTACTAACCCATCCTTCTGATGCAGATATTTGCAGCTGGCTCATGAGTTATTGGTGAAGATCTGCTGACATTTCAATATGGGATGCAATAGGTTGCATTGAATAGCATCAACAGTAAAAAAAAAAAAAAAAAAAAAAAGATTTTGCTTGGCAGCAAGTCCCTAGTCCACCTTTTTGAAATGTCATTGCATCTTCCTTGTTTTAATTCAGTTGTTCTTCTCTGTTATTAATGTGCTCAGATATATTTTCTATAGACAGAGAATAAAAAATACTCAGGCAACTGTAGGGTTTTTTGTAAAGATTTAAAAGACATGAACACCAAGGAGAGAAAGCAGTTAAGAAAAGGAATGTCTTTGTTATCTGTCAGACAAATATTTCAGAGGAAGCTCCATGTCTGGATAAGCCTGGGTCAAACAGCAGAGTAGATTGAAGGGAACAGTCCTAGTGGGTCTCCTCAATCTGATCTCAATTACTGTGTTCTCGACAAAGTACAGCAAACAGTTACATTTCCCGAGTATTTTTTTAGAAAATGCTACAAGAAGGTAGGTTTGAATCCTTTGAGGGCAATGACCACGAAGGTGTTCCTAGCAGTGTTTTAGTTTAAATGACTCCTTGTGCATTGAATGAATTTGGAAGCCCTTCTGCCTTCTCCTCTTTCCTTGATCATGACTTGTGAGTTTTGCATTTTTGTAGATTAAATCATGTTACCAATATATGAAATAGAGTAAGATTTGTGGAAAAATCATCTGTCAGCTTTTTCTTCCAAGGATGCATAAAGAATTTGAGCAGGGGACATATTATATTACTTATGAAGCTCTCTGTTCTGACCACATTATCTGGATCTGAAGCCGGTTAGGCATGTATTATGCAAGCCTAAACTTGACTAGAGCCCTGTTCTTGCTGATCTGTTTAAAATCTTATGTTAACGCATTAATTAACAGATTATAAATGAAACCAGAAGTCTGCTGTAGGAATTTTCACCAGGCTGCTCTATCACTAAATGTCTCTCTTCAAGATACATTGTTCATGAATTTAAATGCTTAGTTTGTATTTCTACATTGAAATTAGTACGTGTGGATGCTGAGTTACCAAGGCCACTGACAGAGGAGAATCATAGTCCTAGTATTGGATATTAGCCAGATTGCTTGCTGCTTTTAATTTATACTTTACAATTAATGATAACCCAAGCCTAGTCTTTTCTGAATCGTTAGAGACTGGTTTTCTCATTAAAGCCTACAGGCCAAGAACGGTGTTTCAAAGAATTAATCTCACTGAGTCTCAAGACAAATTTGAGTAATTATTGCTTTCATGCGAATATTTAATGTGATTAAACCGCAATCATATGCTTTTTACTTCTGAAACTGTGGGACCAGTTGCCACAACAATTTCACACAACTGCGTTTAAAAATCTATACACAGAAAGCAACCATGAATCCTGTAGAACAAATTCGAGTCAGGCTCTGAGTGGTGTGTGGTAGTGATGCAGCTGCTGCTGACAGTGGGGTGTTAGTTCCTGCTCTTCCCCCTTGTGCTGAGGCTAGCTAGAATCATACTGTGACATTTCAAGTCCTGCTCTGTGCTAACACTCTCAGAGGTACTACCTGTCAGAAAGAGAAGGGAGCTGACTGAGCACCAAGCAGAAAGCATGCTGCAGCTTTTTCAAGGATGCCAGAGCTTTTGCTCCAGTATAAACACTTCAGGAGCCCCCACAAAAGATATATGGGTGATCCGGAGATGTGACAGTATGGAACTGCATGGGGATGAGCCAACAGAATCCTTTTGAGACCTTTGGGAGGGAAATTTTTTTGGAAGGGAATTTTTTTTAACCTAGGAAACAAAGCCCTCCACCCACAACAAATCACGCAGAAAAATCAGTAATGGCAGAGCACAGGCTACCAATACATTTACTAAAACTGATTTAGATATCTGACATTTATCTTTTGTTGCAAGATCTCAACCAAGGTTCGTAATGCAGTTTCTAGGACTGGAACTAGGCCGACGGGGATTCACAAAGTCAAATGAATTGGGATGAAGCCAGAGCTACTCAAACATAGCTTTCTTGTTCACTTTCCCCCAAGAAGCAAAGACTGGAGACAAAAGTGATATTTGGCAAATTCATCTTATGAATATCAAGTGATGATTTCTTAAGAACAAGGACTTAACCACCATTTGTTAAGTGGCTAACAGGTTGATTCTGCTGGTTTGGATAGGGGCCAAGAACAAACTGCTTTAAGGCTCCAGCACAGGAATGTAAAAATTCTCTTTGCTTCATTTTAATGGGTTTAGAACAGGTTTTCTTCCACTGACTTCTTATCTTGCTCCCTGTCTATTTCATTTGCCCTAGATTATCTGTGTGGGTGAGTGCAGGGGGCAGGAGGGAGGAATGTGTGAGTGGATATGCATGCATGTGTGGCATGGGCAAAGATGGGAGCAAGAAAAGTTAATAAGGAATGGATAGGGAGGTTAAAGATGCGGACAGAAGAATGAACTGAGTTGGTATGCAATGGGAGAAGGCAAATGGGATGCTGAAGAGAAATTGCAGAAATGCTGCAAGGACTGTTTTGCAGCTGCAGGAAATGAGGTGCTAGCAGATCTGTTATGATTGTCAGGAGCAGCCACAGTGGTCAGAACAGGGCTAGCAGAAGTCAGAATCTCTGGAGGAGGAGCAGGGTGCTGGTAAGCTAGTGATGATATTGCTTTTTTCTTTTCAGTGGGAGGAAGCAGAAGATGAAGAGTTTTAGCCACTAAATCCAGACAGAATGTGACTGGTATTTCAGAGCATAGACCACACCCATTTCTGTTACAGTCTTCTGCTCGGTTTGCTTATTGGAGATGACAGGATCACATTGCATTTCCTAAGAACACCTATAGCATTCTATAGTCTCTCTCTCTCTCTCTCTCTCTCTCTGTCTCTCCCCAGAGTTCAGCCCAGATAGTGTTCACTTTTCCATGGTGAGCCAAATGAATGACCAGCTTAGAATTGCCTTGGATGGTATCCATTTTATCAGACCTTAGCACCTCCTTTTCTACCTCTGCTATGGGCTACCA